GGAGGGGGGAGGGGAGGGGAGGGGAGGGGGAGAGTGAAAGAGCACAATTGCAGTCAGATTCGGCGAGAAGGTGGGTGACGGCGGCGAAGGTTATTACATGGGTGCGGTCATGCTGGGGGGCGTGCGGCCGGGTGGTTGGTTGGCTAGCATAGTGGATTTGACCCATGCCAACTGTGGGCGCAACCTGTAGGAAATTCTTCTGGGCGAATAGCACCGGTGCGCTCCGTGTAGCCTGATTGCAGCCGCCTCTGCCGTAGCCAAGAAGCGCTGCCCAAGCAGTTATTGCATAGTTTCATGGCTGGCACCTTGTAAATTGCTCTGAAGGACCCTCTGGTCTACGTACACGGTGGTCTGCGGCGTCTACCACGTGAGCGCGCGAGGATCTAGCTCTTTATGCTTCTGATTTGACCCTTTCCAAACCTGGCCTGCTGGCTGGGAGATGTTCTTTTGGATATTGGTCGGCTGCTGCCATCAATATATTCTGCCCACCCCACAGGTGGAACAGTTGAAGGATGTGTAAATACGCATGGATGTGCTCTGAGCTGGTAGGTTTTCCTTGCCCCCTCCCCTCCTGGAGAGTATAATGGGAATGCTGGGTGTCAGCTGCTCTAATGTTCCCTGCTAATAGAGCTTGAGTTAGGCGGCGTCTTTTTAACAGTTGGCTTGCCAGCATTTATCTATCCACTACCTGTCGCTCGTCTTCGTCAATTTCTTCGACCATGGCTGCCTGTTGACATACCTGACGCCCCAGCTCTTCCACCTGCTTTACAACACGCCTACTCTCTACTTCATTTTCGGCCTATCTTCTCACAGGCCTATCACAGGATGTGGTGATAACCGTACGACTCACTCCGTCGCATTCATCTCCAGTAGGAGATGGGGTACGCATCATTCCCTCCAGGATGAGGCATCCCTTAATAAACAACCTGACTTGTAATTTCGCCTGCACAAGCTTGGTGGTGCTGCAGCTGAACCCTAGGTTCCCCCGACATTGAGTGCCTTCAACAACACCGCGGCATATTTGGACTGTTTTAGAGTTGAAAATTTGCCATTGATCGAATCAAATGAAATTTGGCGAGCATAGGTCTGGCGTGGATAAATTCTCTTTAGGCCTGTATGGCTACTATTGAAGATGTAATGAATGAGAAGGCGATAGGGGCACGTGGATAATTAAGCTGTACGAGGGGATTGGAGGGGGGAGGGGAGGGGAGGGGAGGGGGAGAGTGAAAGAGCACATTTGCAGTCAGAGTGAGCGAGAAGGAGGGTCACGGCGGCGAAGGTTATTACCTTGTTGCGGTTGGCCGGGTGAGAGTTTGTCTGGCTTAGTGGCTTTGACCCATGCCAACTGTGGGCGCAACCTGTAGGAAATTCTTCTGGGCGCATAGCACCGGTGCGCTCCGCGTAGCCTGATTGCAGCCGCCTCTGCCGTAGCCAAGAAGCGCTGCCCAAGCAGTTTTTGGATAGTTTGATGGCTGGCACCTTGTAAATTACTCTGAGTGACCTCTGGTCTACGTACACGGTGGTCTGCGGCGGCGGCGTCTACCACGTGAGCGCGCGAGGATCTACCTCATTACTTCCTTTTTTTGAAACTTTCCATACCTGGCCTGCTGGGAGATGTTGTTTTCGAGATATTTCTGCTCCTGCCAACAACATATTCTGCCCACCCCACAGATGGAACAGTTCCACGATGTGTAAATACGCATAGACGTGCTCGGAGCTGGCACCGTTTTTCCTTGCCCACTCCCTGGATAGTAGAATGGGGGAATGCTGGGTGTCAGCTGCTCTAATGCTCCGTGCTAATACAGCTTTAGTTAGGCGGCGGCGGCGTCTTTTTAACAGTTGGCTTGCCAGCATTTATCTATCCACTACCAGTCGCTCGTCTTCGCTAATTTCTTCCACCATGGCTGCCTGTTGACATACCTGACGCCCCAGCTCTTCCACGTACTTTACAACACGCATGATCTCTACTTCATTTTCGGCCTATCTCCTCACAGGCCTATCACAGGAGGTGGTGATAACCGTACGACTCACTCCGTCGCATTCATCTCCAGTAGGAGATGAGGTACTCATCATTCCCTCCAGGAGGTCGCATCCCGCAATAAACCTGACTTGTACTTTCGCCTGCACAAGCTTGGTGGTGCTGCTGCTGCGGAACCCTAGGTACCCCCGCCATTGAGTGCCATCAACAACACCGCGGCATATTTGGACTGTTTTAGAGTTGCAAATTTGCCATTGTAGGATTCAAAAGGCAATTTGGCGAGCATAGGTCTGGCCTGGATAAATTCTCTTATTTAGGCCTGTATGGCTACTATTGAAGATGTAATGAATGAAAATGCGATAGGGGCACGTGGTGAATAATGAAGCTGTACGTGGGGATTGGAGGGGGGAGGGGAGGGGAGGGTGGGAGTGAATGAGCACAATTGCATTCAGAGTGAGCGAGAAGGTGGGTGACGGCGGCGAAGGTTATTACATGGGGGCGGGCGGGCGTGCGGCCGGGTGTGTGGGTGGTTGGTTGGCTGGCTTAGTGGCTTTGACCCATGCCAACTGTGGGCGCAACCTGTAGGAAATTCTTCTGGGCGCATAGCACCGGTCCGCTCCGCGTAGCCTGATTGCAGCCGCCTCTGCCGTAGCCAAGAAGCGCTGCCCAAGTAGCTTTTGGATAGTTTGATGGCTGGCACCTTGGAAATTACTCTGAAGGACCCTCTGGTCTACGTAGACGGTGGTCTGCCGCGTCTACCACGTGAGCGCGCGAGGATCTAGCTCATTACTTTCTTTTTTTGTCCCTTTGCAAACCTGGCCTGCTGGGAGATGGTCTTTTGTATATGCGCCGGCTTATGCCAAAAGCATATCCTGCCCACACCACAGGTGGAACAGAGGAGGAATGATGTGTAAATACGCATAGATGTGCTCTGAGCTGGTAGTTTTTCCTTGCCCCCTCTCTCCCTGGATAGTAGAATGGGAATGCTGGTTGTCAGCTGCTCTAATGGTCCGTGCTAATACAACTTGAGTTAGGCGGCGTGTTTTCAACAGTTGGCTTGCCTGGTTTTATCCACTTGCATTCGCACTTCTTCGCCAATTTTTTGACTATGGCTGCCTGTTGATATACCTGACCAGGAAATGATTTATTTTATGAAAATACAGCGGAAGGGAAAAATTTACTGTCACGGTCTAATATAAAGTTCAGCAGCGAAGTGAAATTTCACAAAACGATAAAATAAACAGTAATACATACAAGGTATGAGTACCTTGTTGATTGCTCTTTAGCTTTTAATGTTGCTGTAAGACGGGAGGGCATGAAGACTACCAGGTTTTCTAAGGTGGTTTGGTCTATGAAAGTATTAAGCATTAATTCCATTTTCTGTTTCCTTGCTCTGTCCCAATTTCTTTTGATTCGGACAAAAACATTTTTTATGGGATTCAGGTCTTGGCTATTGGCGGGCATTAAAATGTTTCGAAGGCCGCAGGCAGAGAGGTTGACTCTGGTTTAAAATATTAGATTCAAAACGTAAATTGAATTGGAATCATACCCCCTTTGAGCGGTGGACATTGGCATTATCCTTCAACACCACAGTATTCATTGACGTCTATGAATGCCGTTGTAACCGAAGGCATCTTTCGCTATATCAATGAACACCTTGCTATTTGTCCTCTCCGCTGCCGAACGACAGACCTGTAACTCTCTGAATTTGATGGCTATCCTAACCATCAGACATCGACAATTCTTGAGAGTTGGTGTCTACGCAGTGTGTTCTCGTAAAAAGTTCTTCTGCATATGACCAGCTGGACCGACTTCGGCGGATCGCCTAAAAATAAGACCTCATCACAAATGTAAATGATTTTCCAGAGGGAATGTCTGTGATCAATATATGTTTGAGTTAGCAAAAAGTGTTTTCTAATACGTTTTGTACTTAAAAATGGCTTTGTCATGGCCTTTTGCTGACGGATACCGTGCTTTTTCGTCTTCTAATTATGCGCAAATTAAAGATTGACAGGTGTTCCCTGTTAATAGTCCTAACGACATATGATATGACAGTTCGACCGTCGATTTCGACGATGTCCACCGTATGCCCCACAGCTACAGCAGCAGTGGGAGCTGGGACGGTGACTTACGCAGGGGTTTATAGTGCCAGTAGACTTGCGTAGCATCTACCTACACTCTCTCCTTCTCCCCCGCCTGGGTCCGGTGTCAAGACAGAGTCAAGAAGACCGGAGACGAGGGAGACCGCAGGTGGATGGCTCGGACGGATCCTCACCTTGGCGTTCCACCACACCCCCTGGTCCACACAACAATAACCAGGATTTCAACCAACACAACAGAGATT